TTAAAAAAATTTTGAACGAAAATGCTTTTTTTCGTTTACCATGTTAATTGAACAGTTTAAGTTACTTTAACTTAAGTGAAAATAGTTTTATTGAACTGCAGCTCCTTTCAATTATTTCATCTTTAATGTTAGGTTAATCGGCTAGATAAAGTTGCCTATAGCAATCCTTCCGTTCAGCTTGAATTTTTTCGATGTGACTTCTTTGTGCTCGTTTCTCACCTCAAGTTTTCTCCCAGAATTTTTCTGTCGCTCAGAGTGGTCATTCGTTTATGATGGATACAGATCTGATTGCGAACCTTATCCCGTCTTTGCTTACCGCGAAACTTACCCCGTCCACAGCAATATTGGCAGCATCTATCTTGCCAAAGTGTTCAAGCTTCTTACGCTAGCAAGAACGAAGCTTGAAGTTGAAAATGCCATGAATCTTGAGTGCATATTTGAGGCCATTGAAAAAAATGACCACACCAATTTACAAATAGCTTCATAGTTGTGAAAAATCCATGGAAAAAAAGCATTTTCAAAATTGAAGAAATCTTCTGGCTGACATATCAAAACTCCGATAAAGCGGCCTTGGAACAATAGTTAGATCTAATAACAGACATTAACAATAAAAATTATTTCTAATTTCAGTAAAACCTTGACACAGAACAGAACTTTTGAACGTTTGCAAACTATAGATTTCGAAACTCGTAGAAGCCAAGTAGAATCTTCAAAACTCTAAATGCGTCAACATTTCTTTAATAATGAAGTAGAGAACTATGCCATGAGGAAGTAGAAAAGCTAAATGAGGCTAAATTTAGCTTGAAACAGAAAAAAAAATTAATTCAAATTGACAAATTCAGGCAAAATTTATCACGTTAAATTGGCTGTAGCTGCTTCAACTGAAATTTTTTTCCTGATAACAGCGAGGAAACTTCGTTAGAACTGCCAAGAAAACTCATGCTGCTGGTTTTGATGTTTTTCATGTTTATTCAGCTGTCAGTTCTTCTTTCAAACTGGCAATAACCTTCTCGACTTGTAAGTTTGTTGAGCTAAATACTGTTTTCGCAAACCCATTTTATTCTAGACCCAAATATATTAAGTTCGAAATTGTCATTTCAAAAATTCTGAACGTTCCGCAAGCTTCCGTAAAGCTTGTTGTTTCGTCTGTTGAGTTCAATCAAACAAGGCAAACAAACCAGAGTATAAATCTGGCTCAACCGTCTGTCAGCACTAGCTTTGCAAATATCCCGAACCTGACTTTGATTATCTGCAATTGCTTTATTCGTTCTACCAGCCGTAATGTGATAAGCTTACGAGCCGCTCAATCATTTTCCTAAAAACGGCGATAACTGTAACAGTCATTTGAAGGTCAACGTCAAAGATTACGCTGATAGAAATCAGCCGCTCCAGCCGCCATTTAAGGAAAAAAAATATCTAACCTCTTTAAAAATATATGCATGAACAATAAAGATTGATTACTAGAATTGAACTTTACCCAGTACAATTGTGATCTTCTTCTTTGGCACAAATGGTCTGGTCAATTGGTACGCGCTGCCAATTCCGCCCGTTTGAGTGATGACGTCAAGTTGGCAAATTTGAAATTTAATGTGTCTAGGAAAGCCACATATGGTATTGCCTGTGTAGACTAAAATACGCCTTGAACACCCTTCTTTGTAAGTTTCGCCAGCCACGAACTGTTTTCTTGCTGATCTTAAGAAACTCAAGAGTTTGTCAACGTTGAAGATTCGTAATTCTCATACCATATCAAATCTCATTGGTGCGTGTCTAAGTCTTTATCATACACACAAAAGTTCGAAGTTGTTGATTTGCGAAACCACACGCTAGGTAAGCTGCAAAAAAAATTGAATGAATGAGCTCTTCAAACAGCGAAAAGGTGTCGTTACCAACCAGCTTTGCCCTAATAGATATTTGACTGGTTGCACTAAAAGCCAGCAAAATCAGAAACCAAGAAAACCAAGACAACGTTGGTCTGAAAATGTCCGACAGAAAATCTCAGCTTCTGAAAACCCTAATTTGACATGCAAAAAAATGAACGTGACTGTCAGCTGAACAAACTCGCAACAAGTTATAACGACAGATTGAGTTGACGTAACGATTCCATGTTTTGATGACTAGAATTCCTATAGTTTTTTGAAAAATGGTTTGAATTTATGGGCCTTATACCATCAATGTCAGTGAACTTAAAAATTTTATTCTTTTTTAGATCAAATATTTTCCATTCGCTGATGTTGACATGATTTCAGGCCTTGATTAATTTTAAGCTATCTGACCATTAGAAATTCATTGTGACAAAAGCTACAAAGCTCTTTTTGCTTTCCACAATCTTGGTTGGCTTCTCAGTGGCCCATCATCCTTAGGTTTGCTTCAACTTGTTTTAAATGTACAGCTCTCTGTGCTGTACATTGTTAATACCTTGTTTCGATTAATACCGTGTATTGCTGACGGTAATGACGGCATAACCCGGTTCTTAAGTACACCGGCAAGTATACCCGTCTGATTTGAACGTAGCAGCTTTACTCGCTCCTCTGGGGTATGAAGTTATTTGCGAGTGCTACCATGGGTTTGTTTTCTGTGATTCATGCAGTTCATATACAACCATTTGGGCCGTCTTTTTAATGTCTCTTAAAAAACGCTGACTAAAACTAAAACTAAAACAAAAAACTCTCGCTACTGCGTTTTGAAACAAAATAGTTATGGTATTTAATCAAACTTAGTAAGTAGTTAAATTTGTTGGACTTTTATTGTGATCAGCCAACATCTGCCTTGTGGAAAATGATTTTAAAAAATTTCATAAATGGTTCATTAAGTGTTTAGGCTTATCTCAAAACGCAAGCTTCCATAATTAAAAAACTGTTATGTTTCAAAGGGTAATGAATGAACATATGGGCTGTGTTTGTCTCCAGTCCAAATTAAATAAATTATTTTTGAATCCACATTGCTGTGGGCTTGTGTTTTGCTTAAATTTTTTTAAAATTGATACGTAATTGCGGTTTTTTGCTTTTTACTGCCATATTTTAAACTTTCTATTTAACTCATTTTCCTCCATTCCTACCCTCATATCACGAGTATTAATATTATCGTGCGGTGAGTGTTGTTGTTGGTTGAATTGTGAAGACCTCATAATTATGCCACGGCCGAATTAGTCCGCAAGTCAATTTTCAAAACAACCGGACAATGTTGGCAAAAGTTTCACTTTTCTTAAAATTTGTTGGTGGGAAGGAAAAATTTTTTCCATTGCCATTCTTCTTTACATAATAATTTGACTAAATGAGTCATGTTACGATGCATAGTATGGATTCACTTTAGTTAGCTTGTTTATTATGTCAAATTTTATTGATTATAAGTTAAATGATTTTTGAGATTGAAGTTCAAATATGTGTGGGAAATAAGAGTTAGTAAAAAAAGTAAATAGTGAAAAATCAAAATCAGTAAATCAACGGCTAAAAAACGCGCTAGCATAATTTTGATCACAGAAATTCTGCTTCCAGCGCTTGAAAAGTTACTGAGAAGAGAGCGCAGTTAACTAGCTGACTTTCTTATTTTAACCCAGCCCAGTAAATTGTAACCCTTCCCCAATAATTGACTCAAATAAAAACTGATTAAGCACAATGAAATAGCATGTGAGTCTATATCTGTAAATACATTACTCGTAAATCTGTGCAGCGTTTAGTTCAGTACTAACAGAATATCGATACACTTTTGTCTGAATGGGCTTTTGATTAAGGACACTAACTACGACTGTTACAAATGCACTTAAAAATTGAGCAGCTGGCGCCATTTTTTGATAGCAAGCTGAGGGCTATATTGGGAAAACCTTCAATTTTTTTTCAATTTTTTATGGTTATAAGGCCTATTTTTGTGAACTTAATTCGACAACAATTACTCTTTAAAGTTCTTACATCGATTGTCAGGAAACATTTCAGGCTAACTCCGATAATATGTTTCACTTGATTTCAAAATTTTATCAGTTTTTTTCTGGTCTGAAAAGACCGGTTTTTGCCATTTAAAAATTTTTTTCTATGGCAGTGAACATTTAAAAAGGATAAGAAGAGTAAAAAACTTTATCAGGTGACTAAAAAGATGTTCAACAAAAAGTTTGAATTTTGTTCAGTCTGATAATTTTTCTTAACTCCATTGTAACAAACACCTTTTATTTCCACTTTAGCCAATTTTTCAATTTTGATTGTTGTAAACGTGTAATTGTTCCGACTTTCGATACGAAAGTAACGGAATATTTGTGCTCGGGGTGGGTTTTTTTTTCTTCAGACAAATTTCGACTTTGTAACTAGCCATTTTTGACGGAGTTTTTTAGATCATTCGAAAGCTATTGTTGTCTTGAGCTTAAATTTGAAAAGATATTTTACCTGTGATCATTTTTTGTAAAGTTATGAGGGTTTAAACATTGTCATTTTGGCCATTGTGGCCAATTTGGGACAATTAACGCGCGACATATTTCGCGCTATTAACGCGTAAGCGAGATTTAATCCGTCTTAAAAACTCGTTCCAAATTGGTTCAAGGAAGCTTATATGCCATAGTTGATTTGTTAATAGGAGCAAAATCTATCACTTTTTACTTAATATGGCATGTGGGGGGATGTTTTCACAAAAAAATCTCAAACTTTTTAGAAACAAAATTTTAATTTTTTTATTACATTTAATTTTTCCATTTTATTACTGCTCCATAGACTTAAAAGGCAGTCGGAACATTCAGGGCTTCGCCCTGATACGAGCAGTCTTGTTGTTGTTTGTACACCTTTTGTATCATTTTAGTTATCGTTTTACTTCCCATCAGCTAACGAACCTACTCTTATTGCATCGTTAGCTTTAATAATTTGGTCTCAAAAAAGCTGTTGGCTCTTTTTCCTTTTCCTCCTCACTTGCGAATTTTTGTCCGAATGTTATAAAAATTGACATAAGTACTAACTAAGCCATGAAAAACTTTTTGCATTTGTACTTAACTTTGTGAAACCACTCATAACACCATAAAATTGACCTTGATGCCCATGAGAGGTAGGGGAGGGGGAAGAAAAAAGCCAGGCTGCTTTTTGTCAAATACCCTGCTAGGATCTTGTGGTTTGCTTATTGCAGTCTTCAGTTATTCATATTTTTTCTCAAGGTATTTTTTGTTGTCTGAGTATTGCTTACATGAGTAAATTATAAATTTTTAATATTTTAAGTTATTAATTTTTTTAGTTTTAGTTATTTGACTATGAATGCCAGGCAGATCTCTTTCCATTGTTTTTTCTATCGTCGAGTAACTTCTGACACGTAAACTGGATTTGCTCAGTCAGTTATCTACTCAATAAATAGAATATAAAGATTTTTTAAAACAAAAAATGTGAAACTTGAATGATATAAATAGGGTTTTTTTCCATTTCGCGCACCTTTGCGAAAAATTTTTGGGGCAACGTCCAATTTTTTTCACATCTGCTTTTTTTCAATAGATAACCTCATTGTTTATGTATTGACTCTCTATCGTATACAAGCTTAGAGTTGCCTCTAAGCTTGTAAAACAGGTTGCAAAATTCTACGGCGATCTCGTAAGCACATTTCATTTTGATGAAATGTTCTGAATTTCACAGTGAATGGAATCTAAATCGCAAGAAAATTACTGTTAATTTATCGATGTTCCAGACATTTTGGAGAAGTCAGTATTTTTTTGTTTTTCCAGGAACTCCATCTGCCAACGGCACTGGAGGGGCTGGGACCGGAACAGGGAAGAAAAACTCAGCAGGTACTGCAGGTACTGGAACTGGAACCGGGTCCAAACCCTCACTGTCGACAGTGGAGCGAGTGAGAAAGGATGTCCCCCCTATCGCCACCAGACGACTGACTGATGCTGATGTCTTTCAGGGCAATAAGATCAACCCTCAAGCTGTCAAGGAGCATTTCCTGCAAGAGGGAAGACTCAAGGTATGTTAACATTAGTACCCCCCACAACCCCCCCCCCCCCCACACACACACACACACGCACCATACATCAATTTTTTGGTGCAACTGGTGGTTGTACAAGGTTGGTTATGAAAACCAAACGTTTTTGAAAGATTAGCCTAAAATTTGTATGTATGCCAACTCTTATATTTATACGAGAGTTCGAGACATTGTCAGCCAAAGTTGTCAGGTTGAAAAAATCCAAGTGGATGAAAAGAAAAAAAACTGCATAACAACAATCAGTCGCATGCAGTTCGAACTGACAGAATTGACAAGAAAAAGATTTCCCAGTTTTTAACAATTTAGTGGGAAAATATTTTTCTGAATTAGCTCAGTTGCTTCTTAAAGCCAAGAACCCTAATCTTAATCGGTCACAAAAATATGCTTGCTTGATCAGTAAGATCATTTGAGGCGATGATCGGATTGAATGATAATCGTGCCGAAGAAATCAATTTTTTTTTGCAAAACTTTTTTACGAAATTGACAGATGGGCAGAAAAATATTTGGGCATTCTATGGTTTCGGTGGAACAATTGATGCTAAATGATGTTCTCTGCAAAGCACACAAAGATTTCTAATTTCTTCTTGTCCTGTTTTCTCTGTCAAACAATTCTTTCACTCGCCACAGTTTATGTGCTATGAAAAATTTTTATTGAGAACTTTCAGCTCCACAACCCTGATGTTCATCTGAACAAAAAATCGACCCCAAGAAAGTATTTCATTACTAATTTACATTAAGCGAACTTTAGTGAACGTTATTACTCTTGCGAATTTTAGTGTTATACTAAGACTATTCTTTTTTTAAACCTCAATTGCAAATATTGGTGCCACTTTTGGGGCAACTTTACGGCTTTTTGATAGCATGTGCTTTGACATTCGAAAAGTAATAACTTAACACAGTTGAAGCATTTTAAATTGATCAAATGAACCGAAAAAAGTGATTTGTTTCAAATAATATAACAATAAAAAAACTCGATTTCTGATATTTTCAATTTCAAAGTATCTCGCAATTTTTGAAATGCTTAAATTACACATAATGTGGTTTTATGTTTCCAATTTATTATGTGCAAAATTATTATGGATGTCTTCAGCTTGTTGTATTTTAAAATTTTACTTGCACAATTGTGTCTAGTAATTGTATTTGATGTCACTTTTGCTGCATGGCATTGGCATTTTGTTAGCATATGTAGCTGCTTTATTTGTGACTAGTATTAGCGTTCGTAGCCGAGAGGGCAGGGCGTGAGACTCAAATTCTCGAGGTTGGATGTTTGAAGCCCATACATAGCAAAGGTATACTAATTTGAGGCTTATTTCTATTTTTTCTTATTTCACTTTATAAAGCTGCTTTTTTCGTCGTGTTCTTGCAAGTATTTGCGTAGCGCAGCTTCTCCTCACAAGAAAATTGACACAAGAGTTATCTAAAATAGTGCATTGTTTAGTGAACGTTGCTGTAAAACTAGCTGAAAAGTAGCTGGAAAGCCAGTTGCTGTAAAAGTAGCACAGAATGATGTGAGGCTGGATTTGGTCAATTCTGGTTGTCACATTTTTCCAAAGCGCATCCCTTTGGTATTTTTTCACGGCAGCCACTTATCGCCGACCGACAAAATCATAAGATTTTAAAGGTGTTTAGGGTGGCAAAATGATAGGCCCATGTGAACAATCTTCCCCCTAAATAGATCATGTGAACAATCTCCCCCCTAAAAGTAAATGACAATGTCAAGCACCCAGTTCGATCAAAACTTCGTATCATATAACTTCTGTTTATGAAAAACTTCACACCATAAAGTTTCATAAAGACAAAAACTGTATGATATGTCTATGATAAGTTTTTTTTTCGATAAAGGAAAATTGTATACAAGCTTTTTTCTATAAAACAAAGTTAGATTTTTTCAAAATTATTTTTGAAAAATTTTGGTTTGTTTTCGCAACCGAACACATGTGACAAATGTCTTGATTTACTCAAACTCAGACTAACAACAGGTTGGACAGTCTTGCATTTAAAAATTTTAAAAAGTTTTAAAAAGTGAAATTTTAATTAATCAGGTATTGTGATCAAGGCATACATAAACATGTCATACAAAATGAATAAGCGTTTTCAGAATTAAAAAAAAATTATTCAACGAAAAAAAAATCGAATATTCGTGTATCCAGGACTACGTTATGCAAACAAAACCTTATTTGGCATGCGAAAACATGGAAAATATTTTTTGTACAAAATTTGTTTTGCAAATTAAAAAAAAATTGAGACCTTTTTGGAAAACTTCAAAAAGAGTTTAAAAATCGTTGCTATCAAATTTTTTGAATTTTATTAACACTGACTTTTTTGTCTGCCATTTTTAAGTGCATTCTTAGACTTTTGACAAATTTTATGATCAGAAAAGTTTATGGAAAAAAAGCTTATCATACAGTTTTTTATAATGGAAATTACTTGAGAAGAATTTTTCCATACATTTGATGTATGGAGTTGTATGATAATTTTTTTTGGTGTATGAAATTGTATGGTACGCATTTTTGGTGTGTGGAGGTCAGCCCGGGCAGTAAGACCTGCATGTACAATGCTCAATTTCGATTGGCTGAAAATAATGACTTATAATCAAGTAAACAATCTCATCCTAATTTGATCTAGGGTTAGATTGTTCCCTTCTTGGGCTGAAAGATAATATTGAGGAAGAAACTCGCACCAAAAAAACGTGTTTTTTGGTCAAGTTTGTCGAAAAAAAATCTAAGGTCAATTTTGGCCAGTTTTTGGTTTTAACTTGCCTACGGTGCCTTTATAGGATTTTTCATAAGATTTTAGGGGAGCTCAGAAAATCTATTTGTTCGAAACTCATTTTATTTAACAATTGGTAGTTCATACTAAAGAAACGATCCGAGTAAGGTACATTTTTCTAAGCAAATAAATGAACGATTTACAATTTTTCGTGTTGTCAGGAGGAGACAGCACTGCGCATCATCCGGGAGGCTTCTGTTATTCTGAAGAAGGAGGGCACAGTGCTTGATCTCCAGGCACCCCTCACCATCTGTGGGGACATCCACGGACAGTTCTTCGACCTAGTGCATCTATTCGATGTGGGGGGACAACTGCCCGATACCAGATACCTATTCTTAGGTCAGTTGGCGACTACCCCCCCCCCCCCCCCCCCCCCCAATTTTGAGATTCAGTTTGAAGCACTAATTTAACGTTGTCATAAGGCAATGAACATTTGAATGATTAACACATTTGAATGTTTAACACCATTTTGAATATCTTTATTATTCATAATTTGCATAGTAACGCTACGCACTCAACCATTATAACACGAAAAACAATCAATTGGCCAAACCAGCATACAAAAGAAAACTGGTCAATCGAACAAGAATTTTCAGATTTTCGATGAAGTTCTTCAGCAACAAAAGTTTTTTTTCACAAAAACTGACGTTTTTGCATATAGTTTTTCTGCCTTAAAACGGCCACCATGTTCGGTTCACTGCATGAGTTTCTGCGGTTTTTGATGTAATTTTTTTTCTGATGTGTTGTGAGTATATCATATACTCACAAAAAAACGCGATTTTTGGTCAAAATATTCCAAAAAGTGCCTAAAAACGCCTTTTTTGGTCCGTTTTTTGAAAATTTTGCCTGTGGCGCTGAAACTTTGGCCAAAAAAGGGGACAAAACAGTGCCTTGGGAGAACTCGAAAAATCAATTTGGTCGACCTAAAAATAAAAAAAAGTCGACAAAATTTTTCGAAATTTTTTTGAAAATCCGCCCCCCCCCCCTCGAGAAAATCCTTGATCCGCCCCTGAGTATATGTAATTTTTGATGTGACTACTTCATGCAGTTTAGTCTGTTCTGCAGGAGACTATGTGGACCGAGGCATGTTCAGTGTGGAAGTAGTGTTGTTTCTGTTCTCCCTCAAGATCCTCCACCCCAGACAACTGCACCTGCTAAGGGGCAACCACGAGTGCAGACACTTGACTGCCTTCTTCACTTTCAAAGAGGAGTGCAGAGTCAAGTACTCCCAGAACTTTTACGTTGAGGTTAGAGCTAGAAGAAAGGATATAGGCGGTTGCTTCACAAGTTGCAAGAATGATTCAAAAAAGGACAGCCGGTTGCTTTACAATAGCCGAGTATATGATAACAGTGACAAGACTGCGCTCTTATATCAGGGCAAAGGTCTGAATTTTCCGACTGATTCTTAACTGGTGTTTCTTTAAAGTAATGAACGTAGAGAGTACTTATATAGGTCTTGGTGATTTTTTGTGCTTTTTTAAAGGAAAAAATAGTAAAATTTGTTCACGTCCAAATTTGATTTTTTGCTGTTTGACTTTTGATTTCTTTTTAAGTTCGCTTCATTCGACCCCCTCAGTTGGTGTTTCCAGGTTGTCCAAAAAATTTTCCTGTTTTTTCAAAAACTTGCAGGCTTTAATGTTTATATTCGGCGTGCTAGTCGGCACACTTGTTAATAGGTCGTCTCCCATGAAAAAAGACTGCATGTTTCAAGACTGCATGTCTCCTCAAATTGAGCTGATAAGTATGTCAAATCTGTCAATTGTAGAAGATTCTTAAATTTCTCAAAGCTTTATAGGTTTTTCTGTGAAGTTTATAGAGTGATACTTTTTCAAGAAAAAAAAATCGTTTTTTCGTAGTCAACTTTTTTGTTCTTCTCAATTTTGAGACTTTTTTAAAATTTTTTAGATTCTGGACCAGTACTATAGCTCTTTTGATACAACATTGGATCACTTGCAAGCTTGGTCCGGGAGGCAGTTTTTTGCATATCAAAAAATGCTCTAAACCATAGTCTCATCGCAATCCATGATCGCTGAGAAATTTTACGCTTGACTGTCAGCAAGAATAGTGTTCAAACAAAAGCAATCTGTACTGACTCTCCTTTAATTGGATCCAAAACTTGAAAACTTTTCTTTCATTGATTGCTGGTAGATACATAGAAAACATGTACGGTTCTAGGCTCGGTCCTCTGACGTCAAAACTGCGGCTCAGTTTTTTCCTACAGTTTTTTCAGTGAAACTCTTCAAATTCATTTGCAATACATTGAAACCAAATTTTAGTCACTTTGCGCAGTCATTTTTTTCAAAAACGTTTGGACTGTCTGGTTCGTTTGCTATATCTTTTTTTAAATAATATATTTTATTTCAATCAAAATTTTCACAAACTTGAATTCTTTTTGAAAATTATTTTGTCCTCAGGAGTTCTGTTCGGTTATATAGAGCTTTCAAATGATTTTAATTTGCAGTTGTAGTTTTCAGCTGATTTTCTAGTTACTGTTCTAGATTTTATTAATTTTTTATATCCAGTGTAAAATGATAATGACTGCCGTTTTTTCAAGTTTTTTATAAAATCTTAAAAAAACATTCGTTGTTCTTTTTATCTATTGTCTTCATTCTAAATTTCCTCATTGATTATAGGATCACGAATTTGCCTTATCACGTTCACTTTTTAACCCATTTGACACTTTGGACTACATTTTTTGTTTGAAGTTCCTTTATTCAAAGTGACTGCTAGATGATCCGATTTAGATGTTTGCAAATTTTCGAAAATTCAAAAAATCGTTCTTTCGAAGATCGAGTCACAATTTTTTTAATGTATTATGAAAAAATATGGGAATTGGTTTTTTTGATAATTTTTTTTTTTGAAATTCTTTGGAAAAGTTTTTTTCCCTTTTCCCGTAATGTTTTGTTTTTCTCAATTAATTCCCGAAAACTTTTCCTGAATTGTTTTAATTTTCTCAGTCTTTTTTGCTATACCTCACTTCTTACAATCTTCGACAGGGGGAATTTGACCTAAATGTTTGAATTTATTTTTCATTTTCTCAAAAATTAACCTAAATCAAAGATTTTGTGTTCATTTTATAGAACAGTTTGCGGGAAGCTCCTCTGTCTAATTGACTACACTCAATTTTTCTACACAAAAATTATGGCCCTCTTAAATGTCAAATTTTTGATTTTTTGACAGTTATTATCATAAAAATAATTTGATTGGTCTCCAAAACTAGGCTCAATTTTTATTCAAAACCTATTCTACTTCTCTAAAACTAGGTGCAAAAGTTATGAAACTCGGAAAAGTCAAAATGTTGACTTTTCGACAGTTTTTTGAAATTTTTTGACTTGTCTCGAAAACTATCAGCTCATATCTGAGGTTCTTGGTACAATCAAAAGAAAGGGTTGAGAAAAAGTTTTCTGTATAAGCGATGTCGTCCAAATTTTCTAACAGAAAAAATAATTGGTAGACCTCGGAAAATGTAATGTTTTTATTTCTTGTCCGTTTTTTGAAACTTCTTGGCTCTTCTCGAAAACTACTCTGCCGAATCTGGTATCAAGATTTCAATTGAGGCAATGGATTTTGGAAAGCCTCCGTGCATAAGGGTGGCCAGTCAATAAGCAGAATGGTCTAAGAGCAGAATGGGTCCAACAGCAGAAAAGCAGTAAAATACTAACTTTCATAAGCTGATCTATAAATTGAGTATAATAGTAGTCAATATTATCAAAGAAACTAAATTTTTATGCAGATTTTGAGTTCTTTAATTGAGATTTTTTTTTAATTCAGCAAAAACAAATTTGATGAAATTATTCAATTCATGAATAATTTATTCATTTTCTTGTTTTTTTTACGAATCTGATATTTGTTTTATATATTCGCCCGTACTAATTAATAAAAGTTAATTTTTTTTCTGTTTTTCTGCTCTTGGACCCATTCTGCTCTTAGACCGTTCTGCTCATTGCTCCGCCTCCGTGCATAAGTCTCTACGCCTGAAATTGTGATAGAAAAATGTTCTTGAGAAAATTCCGAATTCACGAAAGTTTCACTCATACCCTTTTATTAGAGAAACAGCTTAGGTTTTGGGGTCCAGCCCAAGTTTTGAAATTACCCATTTCATCCCACATCAGTACAAGAAAGTCAAAAATTATCAAACAGGTGCCTCCAGGTTTAGCTGGGCCCCTAGTTTTTGGTATTACCAATAGAGCGTTAAGACGAATCAGCAACTTTTCCAATTGTTTTGTTCGTCAGGTGGAATATAAACTGCTATAAAAACAGCTCAAATATTTTGTATACTAATCTGTAAAAATATAACAAACCATTTTTCCCTTTTTTCTGCAGCTATTCAAATGGTAAATTGAACATTATTTGCGGGCGTAAAAAGATCCACTGTTTGTTTTTTAGGTTATGAAGGCGTTCGACTGTCTGCCCTTGGCCTGTTTGATGAACCAGAAGTTTCTATGTGTTCATGGAGGACTCTCTCCTAATATACACACTGTAGACGAAATCAGACGCATCGACAGGGCCGAAAACTCAAATAGCAGACTTATTAAAAGCGATCAACCCTTGAAGTAGTGTTGATTAAAAAAAGCTTTTGTTTTCAAAAATTGAGGTTGGTGTTTCTAAGCTCGGTCAATGTAGTTTATTATCCTGTAAAGTTTGCCAAAACCTATTTAATTATTTTTAAAAATGGTTAAGCGAAAAAGAAAATTTGAAGCAAAGCTATCGTAATATTTTGACTTATTCAAGATCAAGACTTGTTCAAGATATTCTTCAACAGGTAGAAAAAAGAATTCTTTACGATAACTAATTTGGCAAAATGTTTTTATAACCAGAAGTTTTTTGAAGCTCTCCTTGGAGCCTCAAAAAGACCGTGGTTCGTCTAAACTTTCTGTTCTACAAACAAAATTTCCGTTTTGTTTTCTGCAAAAACTGTTCAATTTTTGAATTAAAAAGAGAGTGCTAAAAAGTAATTAGGCAAATGAGTTTAAGTCGTGTTTGGGATGTCGGCGTTTGAGTTCGACCCTCGCTCGACTACAGGTTCCGGGAGCCCCCCAAAAGTGGTCCGATGTGTGACCTCCTTTGGGCCGACCCTCGGACTGATTTCGGTGAAGAAGACAACGACGAATTCTTCTGCCACAACACAGCTAGAGGATGTAGCTTTTACTTCTCTTATGCGGCTGCATGTAGCTTCATTGAGGCCAACGGACTGTTGTCGGTTATCAGAGCTCACGAGGCTCAGGATTTGGGATATAAGATGTACAAAAAGGTACGGATCTTTTTAATATTTTAGCCGAGTCTTGTTAAGTATACACCCCCTTTCCCCAATATGGTACCTCTGTCAGTCATCAAAAAGAAATTTGGGTATATAGCTAATCACACATTTTCTATAACTAGAAATTGCATGACTAGCATTTTTTGATGGCGACTAACATAGTTTTGAAATTGTCCTCAAAAGTTTTTTTTTGTATTTTGCTTAAGCACAAAACTAATCTCATTTTCATATTTTTAAAGTCAATATAAGAACTTTTTATGAGCAACAATTAATTTTTGTGTGCATAACGTAGTCCTCGATACACAAAAAAAAGCAATGCTTTTCCGTTTTCCTGAAAAAGTTTTGTCGCAAACTCTCAGAGAAATTTAGAAATTTGATGTTTTCACACATAATATTGTTTATGTGAGACATCTATTATCAGGCCATTTTTAAAGTATTGTACATACAAAACTGGTAATCTTTTGGTGACGCAATCTTAAATTTACCAAAGTCTTCATCACTTGTGTTGGGTTACGAGCAAAACCCAAAGTTTTGTTTAGAAGAAATTAAAAGATAAAAACACACTTTGGGTCTATGGAAAAACACTAATCCTAAAAACTTTATATATAAAAAATACCAATCTTTGCTGAACATTACGAGGCCAAACTGTGCACTGGATAGGCGCACAATTTTGTCTATGTCTGTTCCTGGATTCCAGAGACTAATTTTTAAACATGTTCCAAAATGTACGTGGATTCCACCTACAACATTTCTGTGGATTCCGCGTACAAATACCTGTAACGTAAATTTACAGGTATTTGTAAGCGGATTCCGCAAATCTACTGTAAGCGGATTCCGCAAATCTAAAGGGATTCGCAAATTTATGCGGACTCCGCTTAAAATTTGCGGACTCCGCTTTCAATTTGCGGAATCCACTTACAATTTGCGGATTCCACTTACAGATTGCGGATTCCGCTTACAATTTGCGGATTCCACTTACAGTTGAGGATTCCAGGACAGCTTAAATTTACTAAACACATGTTATTATTTGCTTGTGGATTCCACAAACTGTTCCGGATTCCGCAAACTTTTTTGCGGATTCCGCAAACTTTGTTGCGGATTCCGCAAAATTGCTTGTTTTTGGAGCAATTTTAAGCAATAAAGTGTCTTAGCTATTTGTTTGTGGAATCCAAAACAGCAAAGAAGATCAAAGAAAAGTAACAATATTGTGGATTCCGCGACAAATATGATTTTGGCCTGTTCCGGAATCCGCTCACAAGGCACAAAATGCACGGTTTGGCCTCGTATTGACTTTTCATGCAATGTTCTGTATTATGGAATTGCATAAAATTTGTGCGATTAGAATTTTTGTCCCAACTCGGGTATATATCAAGGACACTTTATTTTAATCGGGGTTTTTTCTTCCACCTTTCTCAAGAGTTGATTTATTAGTCGATGCAAGTAGTTCAGAGTCTTATGTAGTTTGCGATAATTTTTTAAATTAGTTTGCTTAAAATTTGTTCAGGCTCAATTTTAATTTTTCGCGGTTTGACTTTGACTTCAGAAATCGAAAAAGTATATAGTTTAATGTATGCACTAAGAGCCAATTTTTTTGCCTTATAATAACATATAATGACAAAATGACCATTTTTCTAGCCCACAAATAAGCTCAGTTGAACTAAAACCGCCCAGATCTCAAATGTTTCGCAATTTTCTTCGAAAGTCGGAACAAAAATCATATATTATGAAATGTACAAAGTAACACTTCATCACCGATTATTTCATAGGTACCATCGACTAACTTCCCAGCCGTGTTTACACTGTTCTCGGCTCCCAACTACTTAGACGTGTACAACAACAAGGGCGCAATTCTCAAGTACGACAACACCACTATAAACGTGAAAACGTACAAGTTCACGCCCCATCCTTACTGGTTGCCCAACTTCATGGACGCATTCACGTGGTCGCTTCCTTTCGTAGGAGAGAAGGTCACTGATATGCTGTGTTAGTACTCGTTTTTTGTTTGTACTACTTTTGGATTTTGTTAACTAATTCCTCTCCCTCATATAGGAAAGGGTTTGAAATTTGTTATTAGGTCCAAAATTTGGGAGCAGGACAACTTACCCTATTTCAATTTACCCTATGCCAATTTACTCTACGCCTAAAATAAGATGGAATGATAACAGCAAAATAGTGATCGCCGCAGTCGCGCCAAAGTGTTGCGAGCTTGCCTACAGAGGGCAGGATTCTATACGAAAGTTAGAGCCGGTTATCCACCGCCGACCTTAAACCGAGATAGGAAGCTCAGTTATCGCTGACCAGTTGAACTATTTATATAACATGGGGCAAATTGGAATAGGGTAATTTGGCATAGGTAGATAGGAATATAGGGTAGGTTAGTGTAGGGTAGAATGGCATAGGATAAATTGGCGTCGGGTAGATTGTCATGGAACCCAAAATTTGCATATGCTTACTTGTGTTATTAGTTATTTATAGGGCATTTCTTAGTTCTATGTAATCTATGTGGTACCAAAGCAGGGAAACTTAAAAAGAGTGCATTTACAAAACATTCCAATACAAAAAACAGTTCGATACAACAAAACATTCCAAATTTACTTCAAACGGAGAAAACTACTATACCGACTGTCGGTTTAACATCACCAGTGACAGCTTCGCGGCAATCAAAACATCAAAACAATTAACTACCTACCGCTTTTCAAAAACAATTATAACTTCGGTCTGTTTTAGAACTGTTTTGTATCGGACTGTTTTTCGTTCGTTAAAAACAATACTGTGCAGAGTGACAGCTTCGCGGCAACCAAAACACCAAAACAATTAACTGCCTGCCGGTTTTCAAAAACAATTATAACTTTAGTCTGTTTTAGAACTGTTTTGTATCGGACTGTTTTTCGTTCGTTTTCATAGTTTTCCGGACTATTATGCACTGGACTGTGTTGTATGGGGTTGTTTTGTGCAAACATAAAAAAACAGTCCTAAACAAAACAGTCTGAAAACAGTCTCAGTTGTTGACTGTTTTTAAAAAGCCGATAGGTCGACATCATAAATTTCTTCTTGCGCAAGAAAAAGCTCGACAAACCATATTTTTTTTACAAAAAAAGTTGGATCAATTTAGCAACATTTTTGATGAACACAGAATTGATACTGTTTTTGAACTATTTCGAAGTAGATCCAAAGGTTGAAGGCAATTTGCCTGTAAAACCAGCATATTTGCAAAAGGTGGCTAATGCATTTTCTGTTAAGCTAACTAAATGTTACAATACTGTGCAGAAAAACAATTTTATCCCAAAAAACCATTAAAATATTTGAAAATGGGTTTCGGAATTTTTTTGAAAATTTTTAAAGTTAAACATTTAAGAAGCAATCGGATTTTCTTTGAACTGTTGTTTTCTAATTCATTAAAGATCTTCACAGATCCTTCCTCATTCGAATAAAAACGGTATGGGGTGCTACTAAATAGGCAAACCTGCCTGTAGTGTCCCTGACGCTGTGAACTGATTACTAATTTGTAATTTGAACCTGACTCTAAATTCATCTCTTCTTCTTCTTCTTCTTCTTCTTCTTCTCCTTCTTCTTCATCTCCTTCTTCTACATGCAACCTTAAGAAAGCTCCATCAAAACTTAAGAGTGACGTAGAAAAACTAAATTGGCTTACATATGACGTAATGTTAACTTGATTCCATTACTTTCTCAGTTTCGGATTAGGTTAGTACGAGGCTTTCAAACAAAATATACTGAAATGGGTATTTCGGTGACAAGTTCTTTTCCTTCAAAAACTGACAAAATTGTTTAGTTGCCGGCCAAAAATTTCAAAAAAATAACCTAACCTTTTGAGTCATAGTTTTTAGTTATTTTGCTATAACTACAAATTTGTAAGCTGAATTGTAATTACAGCAAAAATTCATTAAACCTTTGTTTTCCGTGCAGTTTTGGAGGAATTTAGGTGAATTTAGGTGAAAATAAAAGTTTTTGATATGGATCAATCAATAAATTGAGATAAAGAGGACCACAGAAATGTTTTTGTTTTTGTGACCTTTTCTTTTTTCAAAATTAACGAACGTAGTAAAGATTCTTATCTAGGTCGTGATCTCTTTTTTTTGTTTAGGAAAAACTTTAAATTTATTCACGCTCACATTTGACTTCGATTTTTTAATAAGTACGGTTCATTTTTTTGGTAAAAAGAAAGCTATCGCATAGCATAAAAAAACACAAAAAAACGTGATCAGCTTCTAACTTCAAAATTTGATATCAGATTTCTCAGTGGAAAACAAGCATTTTTTATGGTCAAGTTTTCTCAAATTGACAAATTTTATCAAAAATTGCCTATGATAAATTGTTTTTAAAATTCTAATAGCCTGACGGTCACATGTTGTTTTTTTTTAGTTCAATGACTTTTTAAAAAAATTGGAATTTTGTGTCCTGAAAACAGTTTGACAGTTCAGTCTTGAAACAAACTTGACAGTTTAGTCTGCATTGAACACTCAAAAAAAAATTTAATGGCTGGATCCTTTTTGCATGCTAGAAAAATCTAAAAATCAGAGACATTTCAATTAAGTGACAACTGCTTAGCGATGCTTGTTTTGGATTCCATTGTGAATTGGAGAAACGCGTTTTGTCAATTGAAGCGAGTTCCAATAAACGTGAATGGGTTCGAGAACTTTCATTAGATTTGGTGCTTTAACAGCGAAGTTTTTTCATCTTGTTCTAAGAAAAATATCGGATTCCTGAGACAAAACTTGTAATGCAATGTGACAAAATGCGGAGTCTAGATACAAAACAGGTACAAGTGTGATAAGGTCCCAAGACCTTAACAGGGTCTCTAATGTAATACAGGACCTCAATATGTTCCAGATTCTTGCTTCGGTGATGTCAATCAAACAATTTACAGCGCAAATGTCAATTATGTAAGACACAATTAAGACAATCAAGGTCGTAACTCCACTATTGAGTAACCAAAGCCTTTGTCTCTTGTGTTCGGATACGGACACCAGCCAAAAACTGTGACCAAGTTAATTTTTAAACTAAATCTTTTTTCTTGGTTTATGACAAAATGCTAGTCATACAATTTCCATATATGAAAAATCACTAATCATAGACCTTTCATGCAATTTTCTGTACTAATGGAATTGTATGAAAAGTATATGATTAGCATTTTCCACGTACGAAAACTTTACGATTGGCGTTTTTGGTCATCCCGAATTAGAGTGGTTTGGGACTCCCCTGGAAAACTTAGTTTTGTAGGGACCCCTCTTTCACACTTTAACCCGAAAAGACTAAAATGACTTTGCAATCCAATGGTAAATTCTGAAAGTCACCAATATTTTATGGAATTCGCTTTTACGGCCTGAGCGCGTTCGTCGCTGAATTCCAGAAAAACAAATATTTTATATAAGTTTTGAGCCGGCAACAATTGTCTCTGAATTATTGCCACAAAATTTTCTGGAACATAACTAGGAAGCGAGCGAGCCTAAATGTGTGCTTCTCTCTAAAACCAAGCTTGACGTCGCAATGAGCCAGCTTTTTTAAATGTTCAAATTGTAACGGATTTACTTAACAATCCCCCCCCCCCTTTTTCAAGAGAAGCGGGAAAATTTCAAGTAGATTGCAGCAAGTTTTCGACCAATCAGAATGCAGCAAAATATAAATTTACATACAACGCTCTAGTGCGATTTTACTGTTTTTATTTACAGGGGTGGATATTATTTAGTAGATACAATAGTTGGGGAGATTGTTAAGTAGATCCATTATAACTAAGTCCATTATTATGATTCTTTTTTTAAATCTTATTTCTCAAAATGCAATCCCTAAAATGCTCATTTTGCATGAAAAAAGCAAATAAACTGTGTCGAAGTTGTATGAAATCAGGAAAAAAATCCAAATAAGTTTAAAACTGTTCCAAGGTACAAGTGTTATAGAGAAATTAGCAGCAGGGTCCCTGATCAGGCCTCAAAGAATTCTGTTGTTGTATAGAACAATTTCTCATTCTTTAGAAAATAAATCTGTTTTTTTCCCGCTCCATGGAAGTTTTCGTAAATCATTCGTTTTTTACAAAGCAAATAATATTTGTCTTGCTTTTCGAGAAAAAAGTTAAATTTGGAAAACGAGCAGAGCACTTTCAGGAAGCAAAATAGTAGATTTGTAGAGTCCCGGAGAGATGCATTCTTTATGTTTCTGAGATTTAGAGCAGTTTTTGTTGTAATTTTAGTCAAGGAGAGAATAGATGTATTTGGTCTTTCTTGTAATGCAATGTGACAAAATACGGAGTCTAGATACAAAACAGGTATAAGTGTGATAAGGTCCCAAGACACTAACAGGGTCTCTAATGTAATACAGGACCTCAATATGTTCCAGATTCTTGCTTCGGTGATGTCATTCAAAAACTCAAACAGTTTACAGCGCTAATGTCATTTATGTAAAACACAATTGATACAATCCAGTCATTCGTTTTTTACAAAGCAAATAATATTTTTCTTGCTTTTCGAGAAAAAACTCAATTTGGAAAACAAGCAGAGAACTTCCGGGAAGCAAAATAGTAGATTTGTAGAGTTCCGGAGAGATGCATTCTTTATGTTTCTGAGATATAGAGCAGTTTTTGTTGTAAGTTTAGTCAAGGAGAGAAGAGATGTGTATTTGGTCTTTCTGAGAATTATAATTCTCTAGCATTCATTTTTTGATTTTGAGAAAATCGATAAAGTCTGCCGTATGATTGAAATTCTGTTCTATTTTCTGTTCTATAAATTACTGTGCTCTGCAAGCTGAACTTCGCCCGGTAAAAACCAACCGTGACGAATGGGAGAATCCTTTGAGGCCTGGTCCTTAATGTAAATATGGTGCCTCAATGATTTTCGTATTTTTGCATGAATGCTGTCATAATTAAAGCACGAAATACGCTAGTGCAACCGAGGCAGGTTAACTACAGCTGAGAAGTTTGAAAACAAATAGAGCAGCGTCCTTAGATTCACTTATAATTGCTATATTTAGTTATAATTTTAATTAAATTTAGCAATTAAGTGAACCTATAGACGCCGCTCGATTTGTTTTCAAAGGGGGTTGAGAATTTGACAATAAGCAAATTAGACACAGGTACTTAAAAAGAATATAGACGATTTTGCAAAACTGCAATTGTGAGAAAATAGACGAAAGTAAGAGAAATTAAAATTGTTTGCAGACAAATTGCGCGAGAAAAATATAATTGTTTGCAGACAACAGTTAAATTTCTGCAGCCAAAAACTTTACAAGTCAATCATGCATAATTTATTTAATTCAAAATTCTCTTGTAATATTCGGATTTGACATTTTTTGTTCATTTAAACTAATTGTTTTGATAAGTAGTGACATTTTATGTTCTTTTTGTATTTGTGAAACTTGACTCCTAAGAAAAAATTGTGTTGGCCTTTCCTTTTCATAGCTTTTTCGTCTAAAATTCCAGATCTGTAAAAAAAAAATTCCATCTAATTTCGTTTTTGTAGCATCCGTCTAATTTGCTTATCGTCTAATTTCCTAGGCCCCGTTTTCAAGCTTCTCAACAGTAGTTAACCTGCCTCAGTTGCACTAACGTATTTCATGCTTTAATTATGACATCATTCATTACATTAAGGACCATAGGCCTCAAAGGACTCTGCTAGCAGCAGAACATAGAAAGCTTTGGGACCCCTTTGTCACGCTTGGTTTTTACCGGGACTTTTCTATCACACTTTTACCTTTTCATATTTTGTGATAATATAGAAAAAATTCGGCTTCTTAAAGTAATCCCTAATTATCCGATTTGACTTGAAGGCCTTCCACCCAAAGATAATAATTATTATGAGCAAGGATTGTATTTCAAAGAAATCAAAAGTCATCTCCGACGGGATTCGAACCCGCGACCTCTGGATTAGAAGTCCAGCGCGCTATCCACTGCGCTACGGAGACTATATTGCCCTCTAACCATCAATAAATTTATATATTTTTTTGCATTTGTGCGCTCTTCAATTTTCTCTTACTGCCCAAAAAAACATTCTTGATCTGTTTTCTGTTTTTTCTTAATACAGAAAAAAATCGGCTTCTCAAAGTAATCCCTAATTATCCGATTTGACTTGAAGGCCTTCCACTCAGAGATAATAATTATTATGAGCAAGGATTGTATATCAAAGAAATCAAAATTCATCTCCGACGGGATTCGAACCCGCGACCTCTGGATTAGAAGTCCAGCGCGCTATCCACTGCGCTACGGAGACTATATTGCCCTCTAACCATCAATAAAATTATAATTTTTTTTGCATTTGTGCGCGCTTCAATTTTCTTCGCCCAAAAAAAACACATTCTTGATCTGTTTTTGGGGATTTTTGAAACTTGTTATTTGATCCGCCCCAATTTTGAAAGTTTTCTAGTTTTCAAATTTTAACTGAACAACTCGTTGAAACAGATTTTACACAAAATGCGTTTACGTAGTTTTAAAGCAAGGAAAAAAAACGCATTACGAGGTCAAAATGTGTATTTTGTGAACTATTAGCTGTTTCGGCAACAAAGACGTTTCCTTTGTTCTTCTTTTATTTTTTCATTATCTTCGATTTCTAAGACAAAAATCTAACATTTTTATAGACTTGTCTCTGGATTCCAGGGTCCTACACACACTAAATTGTGAGCCTATCCAGTGCACATTGTGGCCTCGTAATGCGTGTCTTTTTCAATCGTTTAGACATCATCACGTCCATCTGCACGCAGCAGGAGTTGGCGGAAGTGGACACGGACGAAGAGACGGCGAAGCGGAAGAAGAAAGAGGAGACTCTGAATAAGTTCAGGGCTATTGGGAAGATGAGCAGATTTTATAAGACACTCTCGGAGGAGAAAACTGCTGTGGTCAAACTCAAGGCAAGAGAGACGGATTCTTTTTTTCGAAGATTTTTAAATTTTTTTTTGGTTATACACCCAAAAAAACCAATAATTTTAGTTTCTGCAAATCTCAGAGGTGCTATCAAAAACTGGGCTCCTTTCCTTTTTCCCCACCTCACAACAGCATCAACTTTATGGTGTAACTTAGGATTTTACATAAATATTTATGAAAAACAAATATGCTTGTCAGGGGCGGATGTAAGACTTTCTCGGGGGGGGGGGTGGAGGGGGGGGATTATTTAAAAATGTTCCAAAATTTTATCCACTTTTTTACCGAGCTCACCCCGCAGGCAAAACTTTGAAAAAAAAACAGGCCAAAAGAGGCACTTTTTGGAACCTTTTTAGGCAGTTTTTGGAACATTTTTTTCGGCGCGCGATCGCTCAACCAACCCCCCCCCCTCCTCAAATTTAGTACATATTGGCGCGGAAGGTGCATTTAAAACATTTTAAAAATTTTAAGGTCCGTCACCAAACATTGATATCTCAAAGTAGTGCAAAGCCTTTGGATCGGCAGGGGTCGAAACTCTGAGGGGGGGGTGGAGGTGGCGTTTGATGCTTGTCAATGTCTAGTATGCCCATTCTCGTGACAATCGGAGACAATGTGAACAGAATTTTACTTGTAAAAGTTTGTAGGCGGGGGGGGGGGGGAGAAAGAGCCAAAAACTGTTAGGTCTGTCTATGGATAGTAATTTGTATACATTTTCCCACATTCCAGACTGCGATCTGTTGTTGTTGATGGTATGTGCGTTTTGCAGGGTCTGTGTTCGAATGGTAAGTTACCGATGGGTGCTCTGAGTCAGGGCAATGAGGCCATCCGAGACGCCATTTGCAGTGAGAACCCAGTCACCTTCTTCGAGGCCAAGGAGGCCGACGCCGAGAACGAAAAGATGCCCGAGGCTAGTCGTAGATTATACTTCATTTTAGTCCACAGGGTTGGCTCAGTCCTCAGCCAACCCTAATTTTTATGGAATAAATTATCGGCCGGCCGAGTCGATCCCGAACATTAAGAGATGAATGGGTTGCTCAGCAAGTTGAATAAAGAGACCCGCAAATTTATCAAGTCAAACTGTTTTTTGCTTTTTCAAAAAATGAGACCCAAATACTTTTTCAAACTTAGTTATGTTTTGTCCTGCTACTATTTCAATGAAAATCAGTTCTAAATTAATTCGGTTTTTATAATTTTCCCTTGTAATTGCTGCGTCTTGAATAGAACTGGATAGTCAAGTAAAATAAGTCGCATTGCTAAAAACTGGCTGGATTTTTGAGTTTTTATTTCAAAGGACATTTTCTGAAATTTTTTTTGCCATACTTAAAATTTTGCAACAATTTTAAGAAGTCCAGTTTTTTCTCGGAGTTCAATTGTAGCAAAACAAAAAATTTGTTCGATTAGTAACCAAATTAATCTTCTCTAATAACTATCGGTCGAAACGGCCACTTCTAACATTTAAATGGTTCTCTTGTACCTTTATCTTCAGTTTAAAAAAGTGATTACAGCCACACATTTTTTTCTTCTTGTTATTTTAAGATCATCCGTTTTCACCTTTTCTTACTGAAAAACTGAAAATGGGGACGAACTTTGGGTTCGGGTGTGTTTCAGTTTCCTTTTTCGTTTTGTATGCAGAATAAGATACCACATATAATCAACGGAATGAGACGAGTGATATATAAAACTAAATGTCGAGAGAAATGAGCTTCTGTCTATTTTGAGCAAGTAAAGCGATCGAGTAACGTCGTTTTCAAAAAAATTTAGGCAAAGTTTACTTGATTTTTACTAAAATTGAAAACTATAAAGCGCTACCTAGACAACAAGTTAGCCTAATTTAGCAATATTTTGGCAAAAAAAAAGGTTTGAAAAAGATTTGTTCTATTTGTGAAAAAATCGTTCAAAAATTTGGAATGATTTTCTTAATTTTTTCATTTGACTTCAATTTGAAAAAAAAACTTTTTTTTTGTGATATTTGTCGAGGAACAAGAACAATCTGTTGGTGTTATAACATTTTGCAATATATTTTAAAAAGATAGAAATCAAAAACAATTTTTCAAAATACAAATATTATAAACTTCTTCATGTTTCCTTTTTACAATTTTTTACACTTTTTTCATACAGTAAGACGCCCATTTGAAAGATGTTTTTGCATTTTTATTTTTAAAATCAATAAGTAAAAAAGCGTTAAAAATAGGTGAACTAAATATTTCCAAAATCGAGGAAAAGTAAGTTTGGAAAGGTTGGAAATCCTGAAACAATTCTCGAAACGGTGAGTTTTTTTTTTCTAATTTTGCTTAGAACCTGAATCAAGTCTCAAATGACTTCAATTTTAGACAAAACTGAATTCCTGCAAACTCTCTTTAGAGTAATCTCAATATTAGCCAAAATATCAATGACTCTGTCAGAAAAATAAAAGAAACACTTTTTTGAGTATTTGAACTAATCTAAATTTAGTTAAACTGTTTAGAGTGTTCGCAAGTACTTGTAAGAAAACAGAACTGGTGTTAAACCGCATACAGCGAGAGAAGCAACAAAAAATTCGACTTTTTTATAAAGCACGGCTGCTGCAAGAAGTCAGTTTGATCGAAGAAAAAATTGCCAGAAAAAAATTGCTATGATGCTTTCATGCTTACTAAAAAAATTCGCGGTTCATTTTATTCAAAAGCTAAATGATTCTCGTTTAAGCAACTCAAATAGCTTCCACAAGTGATATTTTACATTGATTTGGGAGAAGTTACAAAAACATGTTCGCTTTAAAAATTGGGACACTTATGGAAAAAAAATTACGTTTTTAGGAGCCGCTGAACGTAGTTCAGTCTTTTTACAGGTCGCGATGAAGGACTTCTAACCTTAAAAATGAAATGTAATTTTCAGATTTCCCAGCAATCCAGTTTTCTCAATTGGGTTATTTTTATTAAACAAGTGACAAAAACAACTTGTTCTTGAATTTCTTTTTGGCCATGAGTTCTTTGGCTTTTTTCCAAATGTATATTGGCTATGTTTTGGTAGGGGATGCTAAATTACAGTACTTTAGAACAAATTTTATGATTCAAAACAAAAACATGAGCAGCACAAGCAAAGTGTTTTGCGGAAAATTCTTCTTAAAAGTTTTGTTTTAACAAGCTCCGACAAAAATGAAAGAACACTTGTTTTGCGTGGTTGGGAGGCTCAATATGAGTTATTGAAAAATACCTTGCATTCAAAATGCAAAATTGTTTGCATTAGTTTTTCAGTCTGTTGAGTGCAGAAAACTAGCTAAAACCAAAAGGATCAATAGCATCTCTCAAAAATACTGAGTGAGCCAAAACTTATGCTGCCTTATGTCGAGATCTTCGAGATTTTCCAGACTTTGAAGACATTTGGTATGTCCAGTCTTTCACAATTTTTTAGAAAAAAGCAATTTTACGTCGAAATTTTGCGGCATTCCAGATTAAACAGATATTCAAAACGGTTTTGAGTCTTTAATTATTTTAGTTAAAATTAATAAATATTTCAAAAAAAATCAAAACAAAAAAACCTGAAACCCAAAATTTTTTTTTTGGAAAAAATCAAAAAATTGTACCGCTTCCCCCTCTGAATTCTGGATCCAAAATTTTCCAGTGTTTTTCCTCCTTCGGTATAACTTAAGACATCCATTTTTGGCTAAACTACTTTTAAAATGCGCGCCGAAAAAAAAGACGTTTTTTGATCAAATTTTTCATAAAAAGTGCCTTTAAACGCCTTTTTTGGCCAATTTTTGTAAAAAACTTTGCTGCGGCGCATAAAAAATTCGAAAAAACACTGTCATTATACTTCTTCATAAAATACGTTTTTTGAAAATCTGATGGGGATCGGGGTTCTAATTTACAATTTTTTGAGACGCTTTGGAAAATTTTTACTCTTTTTCAAAAAAAGTAGTTGTTTTCTTAAAAACTACTTTTCGACTTTCAAAAAAGTGGTATCGATAGGATGTACGCTCACTGACTTTCTTGTGTGCCTGCAAAATTCACTGGGCTCTTTTTACCTTACCCCACTTTCGAAAAAAAATGTGTGGGAGAACTTTTGACCCGTCATTTTGGATTTTAATGCGTTTTTTTCAAAAACTACTCTCCAAATCTGAGATTTTGTGTTGAATGGATAGAAAAGGTTGTGGGAAGCTCCACTGCTTTAACGGCTACGCCTTTTTTTTCTTTTACCTAAAAATTATGGCCCTCAGAAAAGTCAACTTGTCGATTTTTGACCGTTTTTTCTAAACTTTTCGACTGTTCTCGAAAACTACCCTCCCAAATCTGATGTTTTGCTTCATTGTGTAGAACGGGTTGCTGTAAGCTCCCCTGCATATGCAGTTTTGCCCTCGGTAAAGTCAAATTTTTGAATTTTTGTCTCTTTTTTGAAACTTCTAGACTTTTCAAAAGCTACCTTCTCGAATCTGAGTTTTTGGTTCCAGTTGAAAGCACGGATTGTGAGAAGCTCTCTTGCACAAGCCGTTACACCCGAAGTTTTTTTACACAAAAATCTATGAACTTCGAGAAAGTCAATTTTTCGGTTTTCTAACCGTTGTTTGAATCTTTTGACTTTTCTCAAAAGCTACCCATAATAATCAAATTTAATAAAAAAAAGGCGGGTTGCAAGAAACTCCTCTCCATAATTGGTTAAAACCAAAGTTTTTCCAAAAAATTGATAGCACTCAGAAAAGTCAATGTTTTTTATTTATTGTCCGTTTTTTGAAACTTGTTGACTCCTCTCGAAAACAACTCAATCTGATATCAAGGGTTTAATCGAGATAATTTGCGGGAAACCTCCGTTCAGAACGTCGAAAAATCTACTCAAAAAAATTATGTCTCTAGGGAAAATGAAAACTTATCAAACAGGTACCTCCAGCTTTAGCTCGACTTAAAAAAAGTCAAAATTTTTCGAAAAACCGCCCCCCCCCCCCCCCTTGAAAAATTTCTGCGCACGCCACTGTCTAAACGTAATAAAATTTGGTCGCGACAGTCTGGAAATAAGTCGCGAACCTCTACCCGGGTACATGTCTCTAAACTATTTTACAATAGGAAAAAACCCGCCCGCATGTAAACTTTTTCTGCGTGGCCGGAAGAATAAGGTTAACACCATACTTTCAAACCAGAGTGGACGAAACATAAAATATACACGATTGGAACAAATTTTTTCTCCTATTTTCAGGTTAAGGAAATTACCCCGCAGCAGCGTCGAGCCAGTATCACCACCCGAGACGCCTACATTAGTGAGATGGCGAACAAGAAGTCGGGAGCGAGGGGGAGTCTTCCCCCTGACGTCAGCCCCAAGATAAAGACAACAGAAGACATCAACCCCGGAGTTGTCAGGGACTAAGGGGAAGGGGCAATTGAAAGGGCGCAGAGAGAGGGGGTTGGAGACAAGGCTGAAGAGAGCATTGAAAAAGAAAGGCAGAAAGTGTTGTTCAAATGGCGCATTTTGAGTCTTATCCCCATTTTTTGTAGCAATCAAATTTTGGCTGAATTTTTGTCGTTTTTAATAGAATTTTGCTTATCATCAGCAACCATCCTTAAACGTTAAATTATATAAAAAACATAAATTTACAAATTTAGCATTTTTTGCATGAAGCTAGAATTTTCGGCTCTTTTCCAGTTTCCCCCCCCTTTCAAATTCAACTTTGAAAAGCTTATTTAACGTTGTCATAATGCAATGAAATTTGGCGTGGTGAACAAATCGACAACTGTGAACAGATTTGTTCTTCATACTTTACAGCGTAACATCACGCATTCAGCCGTCATAACACGTAAAACAAACATAAAACTAGGTATTTTGAGAAGGGGGGGGGGGAAACTGGAAAAGAGCCGAATTTTCCATAGGGGAATGTTTGAACGATTAAGTTTATGGACATACATAAAAAGCCCCCTATTTCAATACGTAAGAGAATGGCTACGGTATTGAAAAAGATATAGATTACGAAAAAACTGCGAAGTAAGCTGCTGCCATCTCCTAATTGAACAGACACTGATTTATTGCAGTTTAGATAAACAGACTTAAATTGCGAAGCCTTCGATAAAATCAAAATCAAGAAATAAGTCGTTGGCACCTGCTGCAAAACAAAAATTATTCTGCTATTTAATAGCGAAGACTTGATAAACAGCTACAAAAAAGAAATTCGAGCTGAAATGACCAAAATGGATATCGGTGACGGGAAAAGAAGCAATAAACTTCGTTATTCGGGAAATGAATAAAGATTTAAATTGAAGTTCGCAATTTTGTTTTGATTCATTAATGACTTATTACTTACAATTTCTAATTGGTTATGATTCATTAATGATTGAAATATATTGAAAATTTGTTGGGTTATTTTTTTTTCAATATTTTCTAAGTAAGTGAGCACGTAAAAATTCTCTTCAGTAACATATTGATAGAAATTGATTGGATCACCTAAATTTTCTCATTTAGGCCGCAAAGATCTTGACCTTTACGAGTAAAAAAAATACAAAACAGAAAAAATGATAATCAAGCCTATTTAGTTTAAAATTTTTTTGTTCCGAATTTCGTAACGAATGTAACGGAAGGGAATAAATGTGCTCGGAGTGGTTTATTTTCTTTGGACAAATTTCGTTTTTTTTAAACTAGCCATTCCTGACGAATTTTTGTTCATATCATTCAACAGCTATTGTTGTCCTGATCTTGAATTTGAAAAAATATTTTACCTGTGATCATTTTTCGTAAAGTTATGGGGGTTTAAAGATTGCCATTCAGGTCAAATTAGGACAATTAGCGCGCGATATATTGCGCTATTAACGCTTAAGCGGAGACTTAATTCATCTTAGAAATAGTTCCGTTTTAGTTGAAGTAAGCTTATTTGCCAAAATTGAGTTGTTACAACGAGCAAAATTTATCACTTTGCTTTTTATATGGCGTGTGGGGAGATGATTTTTACAAAAAAGCCCAAATTTCAAGTTTTTTTCCTTTTATCTCATTTTATTTAGCTTTTTTTATGTTTTACTGCTCCATCGACCTTTAAAGGCAGTCGAAACATTCAGGGACTCGCCCTGATACGAGCAGTTTTGTTATTTTTAGTCAAAGTTCTGAAAACAATTAATCACTTTAACACTGGAGGTTGAAAATGGAAGATTTCTTTTCCTCTTTTCTTGTTTGTGCAACTCTTTCATGTCTCAAAGTTGGACAAAACAATGTTGGAAAACACCTTTTTTTAACGGCCATTAGAAATTCGAGGCCATCCGAGTACAAAATCCGACAAAAATTCCATTACTTAAGTTTTGCGCGACCCATTTTGCGACTTTGCGCGACCCATGTTACGACTTTGTGCGATCCATGTTGGGGCTTGGTGCGACGCATGTTGCGACTATGCGCGACCCATGTTGCGACTTTGCGCGACCCAAGTTAGCTATGTGGCGACTTTGCGCGACCCAAAATTAGCAAAGTTGTGACATTTTGCGACCCAAATGAGCTAAGTTGCGATTTTGAGCGAAATAAATTAGCTATGTTGCGAATTTTTGCGACTCAAATTAGCTATGTTGCGACTTTGCGCTACCCACATTAGCTATGTTGCGACTTTGCGCATCCAGAATAGCTATGTTGCGGTTTTGTGCAACCCAAATTAGCAATGTTGCGGCTTTGCGCGACCCAAATTATCTATGTTGCGACTTTGTGCGACCCAAATTAGCTATGTTGCGACTTTGTGCGACTGAAACTTCTCGCGGGATGATAGAATTTTTGTCGCAGAAAGCCCATTGCGGCAGGTTGGAGGTGCAACCTGCAACAAAACTAAACCTCAATTATAGTCTTATGATATGAAAAACAGCCAAAGTTTTTTGCTCTGAAAGACTATACACGCTTCCGTAGAGATACTTGTCATAATTTAGTGGTGACAGACTTCAATTGTTCGGATGGAATGGTCAGTTTTGCAGATTAGTTGATTCCAGGGATCTTGTTAATTAAAAAAAACCCCACCCCCCTATGAAACCTTGTAACGAATATCCCTCTATAAAGAAAGAATTGAATATTTAAGCATGTACGGTTTTTGCACCTTGTTAACTATTCCCCCTCCCCTATTGCAATAGGGGGGAGTAGTTAAAAAGATTCAATTCCACAAAGACATAGCCGAAAAATCCTGAGAGAAACCATTGATCAGTGCTTCAACACAGTGATGAAATAATTTATGGTGTTAAAACTAATAAAACTTGAAATTTAAAACGCGTTTTTTTATCAAATTGGGTTGATTGAAATTAATGAAAACCAGCTTTACTTAAAATTTGAACCAATCTCACTTAAAATAATGAAAATTAATCTTGCTTAAAGTTTTTACGTAAATAGTACGGTGCATTTTTGGTTTTGGATCTTTTTACGTATTCCGCCTAAACATCAATATTTTAACATCTTGAAGTGAAACTATTAAGTTTTGCGCGACCCATGTTTTAACTTTGTGCGACCCATGTTGGGGCTTGGTGCGACGCGTGTTGCGGCTTTCCGCGACCCAAGTTGCGACTTTGCACGACCCAAGTTAGCTATGTGGCGACTTTGCGCGACCCACAATTAGCTATATTGCGACTTTGGCTTTCTTTAATTTCGCTTCAATTTGATTGGCTAAAATTATACAATCAATTTTCAACGCCATTTAAAAATGTTGTGTTTTCAATTTACGTCTCCTTGCAATTAAGCCGAATTAGCCAAAAATATTAGTTTTTTTGATAAAACTATTCAAGTTTGATAAAATGACTTGCAGAGCAGATTTACCCAAACCAGAAAAAACGCAGAAAGTAGCTAAATAAAGAAATGGTAAACATCTGCTCAGAAATCGGTCCTGCGCAAAAGGCTTTAAAAGTGTTTTTACTTTAAAAATTGGTGTCTTATAACGTAAGAATGACATGTGTCACAACATAGGTTTATCGGTTTTTATTCATAAGTTTATCTGTTTTATTGAGGTTCTCAAGAAAAAAACAAAAGCGCACGATCATTTCAGGCCAAGCATGACCTTGAGAATCAAGTTCAACAGAAAAGAAGCCTGTTAACGCAATATTTTAAAATAAAAATTTTTGGTTAGACTAATACTATAACAGCAATTCTTTGATTTTTTTGAGGAATTGTTAAATTATGGAAAGCAAAATAGCCGTTAGCAGAATTCGTTAGCCAGTACCATGGGGACTGATTGATTAAAATGTATATACAAACTCTGAACAAACGTTTTAAGAGGCTCTCAGTCTCAGACTAGACTCGTCGAGGTCTGGCACAGATTTAAAAAAAAACTATCTTAATAAGTATTATTTTGAAAGGAAGAAAATTGATGAAATAAGAAAGTTACCCAAAATATGCCTGAGAAAAAATGAGAGTCAACAATAACGACAAACGTAGCAACTCGGCTTGTTCTAACAGAAATTAAATTATAAAAACATATTTTTTTTCACTGTCGGTGGTGCTTCTTTGGCTTTTTGTTTCTATAAATCAAAACTTTACCATTTTCCTTTGACCTTTTCGATTGCTACAAGATGCCGTCGGCTGGAAATTTTTGCTTGGAATTGATGTTAGTTTCTTTTTGTGGTTCCGTAATTTTAATCGAAGTTCTTTATTGGCGAGCCATTTATTTAAAATTTCTTATTTTGGGTCGCTGAATACCCCGTTGTGCTAAGTTCTTTCAGATTTACAGATTAGATGCGAACATGATCCACAAGCAGTTCAGTTTTGTGCCGAATGTTATCGCATCCGAGCGAACCGAAAAAGACAATTGCTGCTTGGTCATTGGCATCCTATTTTCCAAATTACCATTTTGCTTCGATTAGCCGACATATTTGTCTGAACGCAAAAAACCTTATTCACAGGTTTTTGTTCGAATACGATTAACTGTTTTCGTTCACAACGTACGCTTTTGATCTCGGAAAATTTTTTTGGTTATGTTGAATTTCAGAAACCATCAAACTTTATTGAAAATTTAAAAAATATTATATTCCAAAATCTTTTATTCAACTACTGAAAGAAATATAACAACGTACAGCTCTTTACGTTTTTTTGGGCTATTGATCAATAAAAATAAAAAGAGTAAAGTCGTTCCATAGAGGGAGATGAAAACAGTTTGAATTAGATTGAAATAATTAAGGTTTTGTTAGTGCTGAAATGGTATTATGAATCAATTTAAAGTGTGAGCCTTATTCGTCACGAATTGCTCAATATGAATTGAAAAAAAAAATTATTAAGAGCCAAAAGTTAGCTAATGGATGTGATCTATTTATTATTTGTCATTTAATCGTTCTGTTAAAATTAATTTAGCCCAAACAAGTGGGAAAGTGGGAAGACTCGAGGTGTCTTATACTCTAAGTTTAGAAGCATTGGCTTTCCAGACTTCTGCCATTCGGTAG